TTCCTTGGCTCTTCTTGAAGGGAGGAACAAGGAGATTCTTGTCTTGGTGGGTATCACATGTTGGGAAATTTGGAAAGAAAGATGCTCTGCTCTTTTTGAAGGTCGTCTCCCTTGTCCTTACTCTGTTATTAGAACAGTTACTTCCTTATGGGGGGAACTTTGTCCTTCTTTGGGTGTAACTACTAGTCCTACTCCCTCTTTTTCTCGCCCCCATGCTCTCTGGAGGGCTCCTCCACAACCTTATGTTAAGGTTAATGTGGATGGAGCTTGGCACAAGGACTCTCTGCAAGGCGGTGTGGGTTGCTGTTTGCGTGATTCTGAGGGTAGTATGTTGGCTGGTATGAGTAAGGCTATTCTCTGAAACTCTGCAGTCGAGGTGGAAGCCGAAGCTGTATTGGAAGGGTTACTGCTGGCAGAAGAGGAAAACTGTCAGGAGATTATTCTTGAAAGTGATTCAATGGATGTTATCTCTTGTATGAGAAACTAAAATCTGCGCGGCAACTGGAGAATTATCCCGCTCATCTTGGAAATCAGGAGGCTCTCTTCTTGGTTCGCCTCAGTTAAATGGGAATGGGTATCTCGCCAAGCAAATCAAGTTGCGCATGCTGCTGCAGCTCTGTCAAACATGAGGGTGCGAACTATGCGTTGGGCCTCACAGCCTCCTCCCTCTTTGGTTCTGGTGTTGGCTACGGATGGTTTGTCATGCCCCCCTAGTAATTAGTTTATTGTTATAAGGTAAGTTTACTTAATGTATTTCCAGTTTCTATCTCCTGGGAGGTGTCTTTGGCCTCCCTGTGATTTGCTTGTATTGCTCTGGGGATCTCCCCTGCCCCCTGTATGTTTCTTTCTTGCTTTTCCTGTTTGCTGTAGCTTGAGCCTTTTCTGGCTTTTTCAATGAAGTAATTTTCAGACCCAAAAAAAAAGACTAGTTACTATTGTTTCACAAGAGAACATTACTATTGTTTTACATAATTCTCTAAAAATTTGATTCTCTGTCTCAGTTCAACACTGGTTCTGTTCCTCAAACCGCAAAATTGTTTTCCCAGACTTTATGCCGTGGAAAACTCTCTATGATTCGTCGAAGGGGTTCATTAAGAATGATGTATTAACTGTTGAAGTAGAAATATGCTCACTATCTGTGGTTGATGTGCCTAGAGTATTAAAAAAAGCTGTCTTATGATTAAGATAGATGGTTGCAGATCTTTGAATAGTATTCGGAGCCCAATATGTATATGCTGTGCTAGAATTGCAGAGTGGTGTATCCGGAACATATTAAAATTTGTGTGAACTTTGTCAGATAATTTTCAAGTTTGAATGGTTCACATAAATAAAGGATTAATTTCTTGTGCTAGATACCACATTCGTTTTCAGGTTTTGCATAATTAAGGAAAGACATGATTTGTTAATTTCTTGTGCTAGATACCTTGAGTGGACATGAACATAACAATTTGGATCCAACCATTGATTTTGATTAAGAGTTTGAACTTAAATCTAAACAGTTGATGCGACGGTCATGACTTAATGCAGAAATTCTGATGCATACAGTTGATATTCACCTCATGAGTATCATTCCTTACTAAGCGACATTAGGGGAGGAGGGAAGACAACAAATGCAAGAATATATGACTTTGGACCCAGCCCAGTTAGCTAAAATACTAGCCCAATTAATTAAACTCATTAACCTGTGCCTTAATTTGGTTCTTTGGTTCAAAAGAACATGTGTATCCTCAAGGTTGGGAGGATCGATGGGAGTTTTTTGTCAACTTCAAATTGTTTGCATTAGATATTTCGCACGAACATGATCATAAATCCAAGAACTCTCTACTATCATGCTAATGAGTTCTTGGGAGTTTTGGTAACGATGGCGAACATTTTTAGCAGATCTCAAATCCCCAATGAGCAAAAAATCATTAATCTGATAAAAAAATTAACTCCGATATATAGATAAACGGTGTTGAATAAGGGAGAGTAAAGTTTCACACACACTGTCAATGTACCATAAGAGTTTTGAACCTTAGACCATTTATCTACAAGTCTATTATTTTTTGAGTTGACTATATCTAATACTGCAGTCTTCTCTTTACTATTATTTTGATATTTTCTTTTGGCTGGTTTTTAAAAAAAGCAAACCTTGTAGTCACTCAACCATTAGATATTAATATCTTCAAATTATTTTATTTTATTTTTAAGAAATGGAATTCATTCATAGAATAGAAATAGCGTACATTGAACGATATTAATATCTTCGAATTTTGTTTATTTTGTTACTGTTATAGTTATGTTTTTATTATATTGTAGATCGATCATTGTTATTAAAACACACAATGCATTGCAATTTATATTTCTATAGAATTAGTTTTTGTTTGCAATTTAGGTTTTTGTTTTTATATTTGGAATTATGAAAAAGGAACTTCTTTTGCATAGACTGCATTGCAGTTTTGCACACAGTCATTGCAGTTTCCATTTAATAACAATTGGCTAAATTGTTTTATCATTGGATATTGGTATGATTTTTGAAGTTAATGGAAATTATTCAATTGTGTTATCAATGGATATGCCTTTTTGACTTTGTTTAGTTGCATGTTTTCATGATGGATTTGATTTTTTACATTGTAGATTGATCATTATTAAAATACACAATGCATTGCAGTTTATATTTTATAGAATTGGTTTTTGTTTTTGTTGCAGTATATGTTTTTTTTTTTTTTTTTTTTGCAATTTATGTTTTTGTTTGCTATTTTTGTTTACATCATTGATATGTACATTGTTTTGTTATGCATAACTATAGAGCATGAAGGATTTGGTACAAATCTTGCGCGAATCAATGTTGAAATGAATTTTTTTTTTTAACTGTTGATTGTTAATATAAATATTGCGTAACTGAACAAATATCACAAAAACAAGGTTAATGTAGTGGTTTGTGAATGAGGATTTTCTCCTTTGAGAGTCAAGGTTTGAGTCCCTTCAAGCACACAAAATTTTCTATTTTTTTAGGGTGAATAAAGAGCAATGAAGTGAGAGGCGGCTAGCTGGTGATGGGCAAGAGGCGGTAGGTGGCAAGTAGTGGTGGCTCGACAAAAGGGGTCGCTGGAGGTGGACATGTACCATAGTATGATTGACTTAGAAGGAGTGGCATTTTATGTAATTTTGAGGTTCTTGACTTCAAATGAAATTATGAAATTCTTTAAATAAACTTCAGTTGCATTCCTTGTAATTTATAGGGATTAATTTCGTATCTATCACAATAGGAAACTCTATAATAGCTATAAACCAAAACTCCCTAAAATATATTGTCTTCAGATTTTTTGAAGTGCCACTAATAGCTAAAATAGTCATCATATACTATTTTCGTCCTTGAATTCGAAAAATTGTTATGGTCGTCTTTCAACTATATACCTCGAGTTTTAGACCTTTATGTCAATTCTATCAACTTTTCAATTAAATAGAGGGCTACGTTTGTCTTCCCATGTGCTGGATTCTTAATCAGCAATGCCCTGTCAATTGCCTCTCAATTTCCGTCTAATAGAGTGTCAAACTCGAACCCTAATGTCATGTCAGCTGTCTGTTTAGGTTTGGGTTCTATCTTCTGTCTCATTTAGGTGGATTCATTTCATCTAAACTTTAATTTTTTTATATTATTTTATATCATGTTTAGTCTTGTAAATTAAAGTTAGTCTTGTAACTCTTTATTTATCATTTAAGTGCTCCGACTTTTGTCCTCCTTAATATTTAGCATTAATCTAATATTACCAAATCCTCAACAATATTGTCACCGCATCCACCCCCACAAATATCACCATTTTAGTATGGTCGTCATCGCACCACCACCATCATCGACAACAACCCCCAACAACATGATCACCACAACCACTCCCACTATCATTATCGTCGTCATCATTTCAAAATTTCCACACCCAAACGACTGTTCAGAAAATAATAATAATAATAAAAAGAACCCACGAGTTCCACACCCAAACGACTGTTCAGAAAATAATAATAATAATAAAAAGAACCCACGAGTGAAGTCATTTTGGTCAACCCTCCTCCATAGTCATCCATCTATCTTGAAGTCAAAATTCAATGGTTGACATTCAAATTTAGATCAAATATCCTAATAGGGTATTAATGTCAACCATGGAATTTTGATCCGCTAATTGGCTATAAACTCCGGTACCAATAATAGATGTTGTTGTGCCTAACACACTATTCATGTCCACTTTCTTTGAATCAGATTCTTGCTTAAGGTCTCCTTTGAATCAGATTCTACTAAAAAACCATCAATAATGTAAGAATATATATATATATATGTATGTATGGTAGTGTTTTGGTGCTACCTAAACATAATATGTTAGTTTATGTAGATGGATTAATTACCAGCACGTAACTGCGACGACCATTCGTCTTCGTCTCTCTCTAAATTCCTCTTAAAACAAAAAAATAAGAAGAAAAAATTAAAAATTAAAAAACTCTCCGCTTATACTTTTCTCTCCGACTTCTCTCAAAATCTCCCGATATGGACGAGCCCGACTCCGACCAACCCGCGGCGCAACGCTTCCAAAACGTCGTCGTCATGCGCCACGGCGACCGCATCGACAACTTCGAGCCTCTCTGGGTGTCGCAGGCAGCGAGACCATGGGACCCGCCTCTGATCCAAGCGGGCAAGGATCGGGCCTTCTGCACTGGCACGAAGCTCCGATCCGATCTCGGATTCCAAATCAATCGGGTCTTCGTCTCGCCCTTTATACGCTGCATCGAGACCGCCGTCCAAGTCGTCACCGCTCTCTCCGCCAGCGAACACCCTAGTCTCTCCAAATACGAAAGCGACCAGCCCCTCCCTGTCGATCCTTCTAAGCTCAAGGTGGGCCCCACCATATTTTGTTATTACATGTTAGGATTGTGTTGCTTATTGAATGAAATTTGTATATATATATATATATGTGTATTCGGTCCTGTTCTGATAGTTTGCGTGCATAATAAGATATACAGTAATTTTTCTTTTTGGGGCACAACAATATGTGACGTAGATCGATTGAGAGAGTTTTTTGCTTTTAAATTTTTAAATTTTTTATTTTAGTTTTTATATAAGCGATATTGAGGGTGGGGGGATATGAACACATAATCTCAAGCGCAGGGTGACTGTTCTTAATTGGGAGAGTTATGTATATAAATTGACAATCATGTATTAGATGTCTCACATATTATCTTATCAGACTCTGAATCAAAACTTATGTTTTAAGAGTTGTACTTTATGTTTTGACAACATAACATGCTAGATATTGATGAGGCTAAGAAAAGTGTTGTATAGACACAAGCTTAGTATATTTAAGCTTGGTGATAATAATATGTGGAGTAACAATGGCATGTAGGATTCAATCTGTTTGTCCATTTTACAGGTCTCAATTGAATATGGGTTATGTGAGATGCTGAACAAGGAGGCCATCCGTGGCGACTTGGCTCCAAAAGATGGGCAACGATGGGGTTTCAATATAGCAGAGCTTGAGGCTTTGTTCCCTGCTGGGACAGTGGATCAAACTGTGGAACGAGTGTACAAAGAGGTATATGGAAATTTCTTGGTGTATATAAGGACATAAATGAATTTTGCTTTGCCTAATGGAACCTCTTCCTGTGGTTGACTCCAGTTGCCCCAGTGGGGAGAGAGTGTGACGGGTGCACGGGCTAGATACGCTGAGGTCATTCAGGCCCTTGCAGATAAATACCCTACAGAAAATCTGCTCCTTGTCACTCATGGTAGGCCTCATATGTGGTTCAACTCTTTCTTGAATGTTTAGTTTCTCTTTTATGTTTTTGGAAATTTTCGGCAGCTTTTCATATTTGTTCGTTAGTAACTCCAGCAATGTGTTCCTCTTCCCGAGGAAACGCCTTTCGAATCTAAGCTAAAAGCATCTTTGTGCAGGTGAAGGAGTTGGTTCATCAATTTCTTTATTCCTGGAGGGCGCCACAGTTTATGAAGTAAATTACTGTGCATATTCAGAACTAAGAAGGCCTGTCTTCGACAAAGACCAGCCAACAACTGCTGGGAAGTTTGAGGTAGTGAAAAATCTTCGCCAGACTGGTCTCAGTTACTCGCTTGAAATTGCGGATACAGTTGATTTAAGCTTACCATCAGAGTAACGACCGTGTAATATTGCCTTCTTTCTAGCGTGCTTGACTGCATTTTTACACCAAAACTCCAATTATTGGAATTCATTCCAGGGCTGGATGGTTTACGAATTGATCAGACAATAGTTTCTCTTTTACGTTTTCTTTTGCAACTTCAGTTCCATGTCTTTGCGACCAGGCTAAGAAGGCTCAGGTTCGAAAGAACTGAAGCAAAAGCTTCTTTTTTACTTCAGAACAAGTTCCCTTCACCCCTCCGCCCCCCCTTCTTTCTCCTTTATCAATATGATCATGTGCTGCTTCAATCACTAACTGAAAAATGACTGAAACCTTCTTCAAAGAAAGTTCTCATAAGTGTTTGAGTTACATTACATGCAAGCATAGTACCTTTCTTTAAGAAGCAACTATCATGCCTGTTGGACAAAGAATGGCAGAGGCAATTTGACTTGCTATTATATGTAGTTCAATGTCTAGTACAAATAATGGCAGTAACAATAAATTATCATGCCAGTTAGACCTTGTCAATTTCTAGCTAAAGAAACTAATACAAAGTTAGTGTTTAGTTTCCACATCCTACATGCAAACTTGAAGTTACAAGGTTACTGTCATTCAATGCTGCTCTGGTGAGTTTGGAAGCAGTTCAATCTGATCAAACATGTCTACTGGTAAGTCGTCGAAGACACAGTCCGGGGTCATGGGATTGCCAATTTTGTCCCTTTCACCATTTCCACAACTTCCTACCGGTTCAAGAAATGGGGGCTCCATGAGAAGTTGTTCTCCTCCATTTCCAAGTTCAGAAGCAACCAGAGGAGTTAACATGTCGAAATAGGGATCAAATCTTGCCAAGAGTTCTTGGGTTTCTAATGAGAATTCTAGGTCTGTTTGGGGTTGTGGGTTCTGCAGGAAAGGGATTAGCGGTTGGGGCTCAATCCATGGATTCTTCTCAGTTGGGGCAAGCTCTTGTTGAACAGGGTTTGCTTCAAGAGCAAGTAACTTGGGCTTAACAAGATCTGGTAGTGGCACCATTTTGATAATCTCGGAGTTCCCAAAGCAAGTTGGTGATGAGCATGATTGAGCCTGTGATGATGATTCTCCCTCTGATGAACAACTGAACTTCGGAGCCTAGAGAGGAAGAAAAAAAAAAGATCCAATTACACAATTAACAATTAATTAAAACTTAAATTTGTAGAAACCGTAGGTCCATAACAATAATAACGACATCTTTTCGTCAAGATTTATTCATCTGGCTTCCATTTTTTTGTTCTTGTAACTCTAACTACCAAAACTTGAACAAATTAAAACGTCTAAATGGGCTAACATGAAAATGCAATCAATTCCAGACAGAATATTTCAAGTGCATAAGTAGAAAAACTTATTTTCTTTCTGTTAAAAACCCTTCTCTAGATGTGCAAATGACATCAATTGCAGTCATTACCAAAAATGATTAAAGAAAAATGAAAGATAGTTGTCATTTACACATCCAGAAAACCAATATTAGGTTTTTCTTCTTTCTAGAAGTAACATGTCATTTACCTCCAAAGTGAGAACCTCATCATAAACAGGGCCTTCCCTTTTGTTTTTGTGTGACTTGGAGGGTGTGGGTGCTGATGCCTGCAGAATCCTAGCCAGCCTCTTCTGCCTGCTACTCCAAAAATTCTTGACATCATTGTCAGTCCTCCCAGGCAAATAGGTTGCTATTCTTGCCCATTTGTTCCCAAATTGTGCTTGCAAATCTATCACCACCCTCTCCTCCTCTAATGAGAATTTGCACCCACTGAGAAACAAACACAGATTCCAAATACAATTAGCTAAAAAACCCAACAACCCATTTTTAAAATCTTAATCACCAACAAAAACCCAATAGCCCATTTTTAGAAATCTTCATCATATTATCACATAGCATGCGCATGAAACAATGTACCAGAAGCAACAACTAAAACAGAAAGAGAAAATGAAATGGTGGATGATGAGTTGGGTTACTTCTTCAAGTTGGGTCTAAGCTTATTGACCCAACGGAGACGGCAAGACTTGCCAGTCCTCTGCAAGAGGCCTTTGGATCGAATGGAGCTCCAGTCTCTTGGGCCACACTTCTTCACATGGTTTAACAGAACTTCATCTTCCTCTGCTTTCCATGGCCCTTTCCTTATACCCTCTTCTATTCTACCCTCCATTCAGAATTCTTTCTCCTTTCTCAGACACAAAGGGAGTTACTTTGGTCACTTTCTTTGCAAAAGTTTTTCTATAAGTTGTGCAGCACTCTCTGTAATTTTCTTATCGTTTGTGTAGTGGCGGTTAAGGCAGTTACTGATGCCATCGTCCACTAATTAGCCCACATTCGCACTTTTTTCTCTGTTTCAAAAATCATACCGGTGAAGTTACGAAAATGGCCCTCTCTTAGTTTTTAATTTTAATTTCCAACCATCAAAGCAAAGAGCCCTGTTTCTTTTGACATTTTTACCTCAAATTTAAAAAAAAATCAAAAATCAAATATTTCCCGGGAAATTAAACATTTATTTGGTAAGACTGCTTGAAGATTTCTAAGAAGAAGCCAATGGTGGCTTCACCCCATGGCACCCCAATTTGAACCCAGGGTCGAACTCCAATGTAACCAAACAAACAAACAAAAAGATTTCAAAGAAGAAAAAAACAGTTTCAAAACCAGCCATTATAATAATTTTCCTTTTCCTATTGACAGTGGTTCACATGGCTAAATGCCATTCCTTCACAAAAATAATATAAAGAGATACATTTACTACTTCCACTGGGCCAAGATATCTTGGCTTTCAAAGTTTCCTTGAAATGTTGTAAAGCTCAATTGTAAGTTAGCAGCCATATAACTTGGTACAACAAATCAGGTCAACGAACAAAAAAGCTTCAATTGGATCTATTGAAGAGTATATACATGAAGAAAACCCTACAGCTAACTAAAGCACTAATATTTTAGCTCATCTGTCACAAGTTTGTTGGATGCCATACTCGTCAAAAGGCATCAGCAGTCTCCATTGAAGTCGTTCCCTCAGCAGAAGTAGTATTGATGCCTTTGGCAACTGGTTGGCTGATCACCCCATTGTTACTGTTAATGCTTTCAGCACCGTTTTGAAGTTTAGTCCTAGTAAGATGAGATTCAGTAATTAAAGACGGCTTCTCAGAAGAAACAGTTTCAGTATCCCCATTCTCAACAGGCAGACGTTCGTCGTTGTAACTTGATGTTGATGAGCATTTAAGCAATGATTCTCCTGGTACAACCATCAAAGTGCCAACTGCATTTGAATACTGACTACAATCAGAACCATTTATCAAGTTGTCACAAACCCCATCAATTGTGATAGCATCATCAACTGATGATTGGTGATTACTTGTGCTTCCATTCTTGCTTTCAATTTCTGTTCTATCACTTTCTGAAGCTTCAGACACTTCAACCACTTGTGATTCAACAGGCACAGATGCAGATGGCAAAGTCTTGCTATCTACGATATTGTTATTAGATGCTCTAACAGTGGGCTCAATATCATTGCAGTGGAGATCATTTGGATCGGTTACTGTGCATTGTTCTGCAAACTCCATTCCATTTTTTCCTTCAGTTTCCATTCGTTCATTTCCTGTTATGACACCTGAAGTTTCAGCTACTTCAACCACTTGTGATTCAACAGGAATGGATGCAGATGGGGAGATCTTGTTATATACAGTATTGTCATCACATGTCTTGCAAATAACAGTGGGTTCAATATCATGGATGTGGTCATCATCCGGATGGGTTACTGTGCATTGCTCCACAAACTCCATTGTTGAAGAAGGGATATCAATGTCCTCATCCATCGCATTTTCTTGCCTATTTCTATTTAAGATATCATCCTCATATCCAGTTGTATTAGTGAGAGCATCATCTGCGGAAGCTAAATCTTCAGTCTCTGCGTTAAACAATGACCTTTGTCTGCTTCCCGAGAAGACACTGCTAGACACAACCTCATCAACAGAATATAACCCAGGTGGGGAAATACAGATGGATGATGGGTCAACATCCATCTCATCACAAGATACTTCTTCTCCACAACTCTCATTACATATGCCATTTCCACATGCTACCTGATTACTCTGTTCAGTACCCAATTTACCCTTGGTTCTCTCAGCAGTGACATGTTCATCCCCACAATTATTCTCGTTATAAGATACTACTTCCTCATTTACTAATTCTCGATCTTGATCAGCAAAAGATGTCACATCCATTGTGGTATTGCAGCTTTCCAAATTAACTAGTCCATTTAATTGATTCTGTACAAAGACGGCTAAAGAAACAGCATGATCACGAATCAAAGAATCATGAGGTGGGCAGTGCAGCATATCAATCAAGGCCTGGTGGTACTGCAATAGGCTTATAGATGGCATAGCCGACTTTTTCCGACAGACACTGATAACTTTCAGTACATGCTCGCACAGGTTGCCCATTTCTGCCCAACTGCAGTTGCAAATACCGAACTGTGAACCAGGGTTCCAAACAAGATAAGCCTTATCTTGATCAAGCTGGTTAATAACTTTTGCACATGTACCTTCCATGACTACATTGGAGTCTGGAATCTTCAATGCTTTACGCCAAGATGTTAAACCACTCACCCATTCATCTTTCCAATATCGAGCAAAATCATCCTTCTCAGAATATTCATCAAGCCAGAAGTAGGAATGTACTTTTGTACCCAGCTTATCAACCAACCAATCAACTCGTGTGTACACACTAGGTTTCTTCTCGTTCAGCAACCTAAGCTTTAGTTGGTTGTGGTAGAACTCCATTGCTGCACAGGTTTCCTGGCTAGCAAGAGGAAGATTTTGTAGAGCAGAGATCCACATCCCTATGTCAAAAAACATTTTTCTTGAATGAGTAATTCAAAATAAAGCAAAATTAAAAAAAGGCTCTTTTAATAGAAAGGGGAGAAAGAAAACAAAAAGGCCGCTATCTGCAAGACTAAATATTATATTGAACCGACGCAATAAATTGATCTTCTGCCAAATAAAGACTGCTTTACAATCAGCAGGCCAATTCTTAGCATATCAAATTCCCCTGTATACAAATGGATATATATTACACGGAAAGCATATACTAAATTATATATTACACAAACACACGCACACATGAACATCCACACATTTATGCGATTATATATGTAAAATTTATGAACATATGTATGTATGCATATATATGCATGTTAACCTGTACGCATGCCACACAATCAAGTCAGGGCAGGTCTTAAGAAATACATACATAGACATAAATGTAAGTATGTCAAGATGAAAACCAATTAAAAGGGACATGTTAGTTCATATCACAGGGCAAAATATACCTCTACTTAAGATGATAGTGACCAACCTATTCTAGGATACCAGGTTGCCTTAAAGTAATCCATAAAATCTGATTCATCTAGAAAATCTTCTATGAAGTCCTCAAACAAACCCTCAGTTCCTCGTTGCTGACAAATGTTATCCATTGCCTGATGAAACCTTCTTGATATTGTAGCTCGCATCTCATTGTCCACACATTTCTTTACTAAGTTTTTATGCCATGCATGACGAACGCGCCAAAAGCTTATCAACACCGAGCACTGAAATACATCCCTGAATACAATGAAAAAACATTATTCATTTAGCTTCAAATCATGCAAGTATTTATCCATTAAAACAAGAAAAAGAAATACAGCTCTAGATCATGTCAAAGTGGCCTGCTCCATTTTGAAATAGTTGCGGCTATTGCCACTGGCCCAAACCCCAAAAGGTCACCTCATAAAATTGGATAAATAAATAAGATATATTTATAGCCTTCAACCTTGATTTTAAACATCGTTTGACAATAGCAAGGCTATGTGTTGAGATTAAATCACTAGTTGTCAAAACCAAACAAATCACACAATACTAGTGCATCGACTGGACAGTCTGATCAAGTCAAGAGATTGGGCATTAATTTCAAGGAGAGAATCCCACCTGCTTATAATATTAAACTGAAAACAAATCTTCTAATCATAAGTAAACAACTGAAATGGAATACATGGAAACAGGTTAATAAGTGGTGATGTAATTGGGTTCACACTGCCACTTCTATGGAAAATGATCTATGGACTGTGATCAGCGAATACAATCATCTATTGTCAGTTTGAAGTTTGGACAAGGACTGAGAAGCCAACCTGATAGTGAGCACATCAGCTAGCGGATCATCCACTATGAACCCAGCCAACTTCCATGCAGGATCTTTCGTTTGAACTCTATTGTAAAGAGCCCTCATCCATTTATGGGCATTGGAACTTTCGAACTTTGGAGCCACTATCCAAGCTACTGGAATGGCCTTGTTGTCGTCGTTAAATACAAGGAGACTGTGAACTGAATACTATATAACATCCAAACATGAACATATTCAGTTGCACATTCTATTAACAATTGCAGTTAACAATAAAAGGTTACACAAACTAAACGGACCTTCAATTTGTTTGTTCCAAACCTTGAATCTGAAGCTAGAAGGCTACGATTTCCAAAGCGAATCATCTGTTGCAACTGCCAATCTGTTTGAATTCCCAAAGTGAAAGGGTCCACATCAGAGAAATCCTCATAGTAGAAAACATTACTCTGATGGTTTTCCACCCACATGCTAATGCTAACCGCATCATCTGCATCCAATTCATATCTAGAACGTCGAATGATCCTCTCCTGTCTCCGAACGTACCTATGGGTTAAAAGATCATCACGATTAGATGGACCGCCCTGTTTCTCTACTGATTCATTGTGTCTCTGCATTATAGTCTCCACAGAGACCCCCACATATAGCAAAGATAGCACACGAAGACGTAGGTCCTCAGAGATGTATGGGGCAAACATAGCACGCGTTCCAGCAGCCATCTTGTCTTGCGGGCCATGACATGGCGCCCCTTTCTTATCCACATGCTTATCCTGATTATATATGACAAGCGCCACTGAGGGTTCAGCAATTAAGCGTTTCACGATAAAGTGGCAGGTACATCCTCTCTTGGTGTTTGGTCGACCAGCATTTTTCTTCTTTGGGAGATAAGTAGTCCTGCTAGGTCGTACAACCCCACCCTTCCTATGGTCATCAGGACCAAAGGAACACCAATATCTACACATTTAAAGAAGATAATTTAAGATGATAGAAGGCAGGAACGCTGGCTAGAATGGACAGAGG